ATGCTATTCATTTACTGCATAATTATTTACCAGATCGTCCCAATATACAGACCAGTTTCATTTAAGAAAAATAGAAGTATTGTAGATGAAAATTATCACTGTCCCACAATTATCTGTATTCAGCGAGACTTCAATTATAAAATAATTGATGTATTTCCCATGATTAAATCTATATAAATCTATTGATCAACTTCATAACCTCAGTACCTGTGAGAGTTCCTGTGTGAGTCGTCAGTAGTGTAGCTACCTCGTCACCTCCCAGCAGCCCGGTCCCTCTGCTCATCAATTATAACAAGTCCAGGGCCGATTAAGTGGACTGTCAGCCTCACCTGCGTCCACTCACCAGCCTGAAAATTTGTTTAATTTCCAGCTAATTAATTATTTTATCTAAGTTAAGATTGGAAATTCAAGATTTAGTGACCTTGCTGATTACAACGCTGTGTACATATTCATGGTGTAATTAAACCCGTTAATTAGGAGCTTGACGTTGTTCTGGGTCTTCACTCGAGGCGACTTAATACATATTTAACAACCATTATTTTCTATCCTTCCTTCTATACATTTAAAAATATATTTACCGCGTTTTATGGAGCTACAGTAAGAGCTAAGAGTTCCAGTGCTCAATTGATTATTAAAATTTTACAAAATAATTGTTTCTTTTTGGATAAAACGTTAAGGTAAATCACATAACCAATCATTTTACAATACCTCAAGCTATGACAATGATGAATCAAACACTGGGTTTATCATATAGAAAATATATACTTGCTGGGAGACATGTTAACACATGTACATTTCCTATTTACACAGACAATATACCTAGACTCACTGTCATATGCGTACACAGTCATACAGGTACATAGTTATACAGGAACACACAAATGTATACACAATCATACAGAGAAATGTTTATAAAGGTACAGTCATACAGGTATAGTGGTACAGTATATGTAAAATAACACAGAGGTACACTACGTCGATGATAAGTTACATTGGTACAAAGTTATCAAGGTACATAATCACACAGGTACAGTTAAGTCTGTAGAGCTACAGAAACACAGAGCTACCGACGCATACATAAACATAAAGTTAAAGAGAACTACACGGGCACACAATCACACAGGTTCAAAGTCACACAGAGACATTATTAAACAAGTTGAGTCACAGATACACACAATCGCAAATGTTCATTCACAGAGATATACAATTGAAAGTCAATCACTTTTTCTAAAAGTCACACTCACAAATGTTCAAAGTCACCTCAAACACACGTGTTCAAAGTCAGACAATCACATATGTTCAAAGTCACGCAAATAGACAATCACACAGAAGCACATTCACATTTATTCGGAATTACGCATGTAATTAACCCCATCAGCCGTCAGCCTATTTAGATAACTACGATGCATCGATGCGGTATGTCAGGAATAATCCTTATCGTAAGGCATTGTACTTTTTGTGGTGATGTGATTTTGTCGGTGCGGTCTCCATACTTGTACTGTATATACAGGGTAGTGGTCCAGGTTGACACATATGACTGCTTTGTGAAGGTGACTGAGCTCTCCTGCATTCGCTCTCAAAGATGCAATTTATGTTCCCAGAGTTTGGTCACGCTTTACAATTCTGTCTCCATTTACTGGTCCTGTTCCTAAGGTGGCGGCACACTGGGAACTTTCCTCCAAACTTGTTCGGCAAACACGGTCCGGCCAGCAAAACAAAGAGATGTTTTGCGTCACACGGGGCTGCTATGTTGGCGCGTCTGCCCAACGCAACGAAAACAACAACAAAGCGTCTACAGTAGACTAGGTTCGCCATGGATCCCGTTACTACAGTTGAGGCCTTGCAGGATTGTGCTATAGTTCTTTAATTGGTGAAGCAAGTGAGACGTCTGCAAAAGCTAAAGAAAAGGCAATGAGTGTATCGTGAAGTTTCTTTAAAAGTGTCGGCGGCTGGCTGGTCAAAGACCCTGAATAATGATTTAATAATACTAAAGAAGTTTTAAAGTGACAAATAAATAGAATTATGTCACAGTTTATGCGTTATATTTTAAATCATTACATGATTTATTTCAATTTTACTTGAACTTATGTGAGGCTCATTTGAGCACTCACACGGCTAGCAAAGATCCCCTCCAAACCGTTGTCCATTTCTAGCAACAGCCGAAATCCTGCTGCTTGCTGTGCGTTTTGGCCAACGGCCAGCAAAACGAGCCACATTTTAACTACATGTGCCAATTAATTAATATGAGACTATTTCTGCTGTGTGTCACCAAGCCCCACATGGAGGGTCTTACACAGTAATCTACTGAAAAACAATTGTGAATTTTGTAATCATCTGTAAGTCTCATGCAAGTGATTTACCATGGATGTAATGTCTTTCTGGCTTTGCACTTTCCCGCAAACAACTGGGGTGGGTCTGAGGTCAATGGACCCTTCGGTTACTCCACTAAGAACCTTTCCCGGCAAGATTCTTTACCAGATGAATCCATTTTAATGTTTTGCACATGCACGTGTAACTTCATCGAAAGGCTTGGAGAAATCCACTGTTAAACTTTGGTCTACATAGTCCGTTACCGTTTCTGTGAATGTTTGCAAATTCTTCAACAAGAATTTTACTTGATGAAACCCTTTTGTGGTACGTCGATGAGACTGCTGCTGTGTCAAATATTGGATGATGGCGTCCCTGAAGGAATATCATTGCACTGTAGTTCACACCTTCTACTAGTTTATAATTATTTTGTGGTATAAACTATGGAAATTAATGAATGACTACAGGGTGTCTCTTGATATACTTTAACACCTTCTTTTCTGCAGCCTCGTCCTTGTGAAGGGTGGGTGATGATACCCTGGTTAATCAAACTCAACAGGCGACAGCTTACTAATGTCTATAATGTCTGGCTTTTTGTGTCATCATTAGCACACAACATTTTAGTCCTATTAACAAAACTTCTGGGATTTGTGTAACATCACCTTAAAAGTCCCGGTGTGTAATCTTGTCGTCCTGGTGGCTGTGGGCGTTGAGGGAGTCCTAGGGAGTTGTGGCCCCGGGAGGTTAGTAGTACTACTTAAAGCTTATGCATTATGTACAGTTAGTCGCCTCTTAACCTTACTGCTGCAAGAGATCCTCGCCACACAAGCAATCACACAGGTATAGCTACACAGGTACATTTACAAAAGTACTGTAAAGTCACAAAGGGACAGTTCCACACAGAAAATCACAATGCTACAGGTACACAGGTACAATTATTCAGGTACAGTTACACAAGTACAGTCATACAAGTATAGTCATACAAGTACAGTTATATAGGTATAATCACCCAGGTACAGTTATATAGGCACAGTCACACAAGTACAGACACAAATATAAACAGATATAGACAAAGACACATGTGTAACCATTATTGTGTTTGTGTGATTTAAGAGGCCCGCAATCACACATGCACACAAATACTTACACACACAATTACAAAGTTATACGTGTACAGCAAAGTATAATGACACATGCAAAATCAAGAAATAACATGATTCCATAGGTACACTAATTACACAGGAATGAAACACCAAATGTATACACTCACACAGATACAGAATAACACAAGGATACAGATGCAGATGCATCTTATACTTATAATCAATCGCAAATGTACACGACACCATTTGTATAAATCAATAAACACACAATCACACATGTATGAATTTTTTACGTATACAGTACAATCATATGAACACAATCACACATGAATATAATCAAATAGAAACACCATAATAAGTGTACACAATTGCAGTTGCATTAATATAGGCACTGAATGTTAACAAACATAAAGTACATACTGATACATATACTTTCTTACACTGATATTAAGTGACGTACACAGCTCGACAGACACACATACACACCCTGATATCCACTTTCTCAGCGATACAAACATGGTCATATACAGTCTTACTGATACAAAAACGGTCATAGTTATTAATATATACAAATGTCATAGTTATTCACACATACACACGGTCTTAAATATACACACTGATACGGACACGGTCATCATTCACATAAATACAGACGCACTTAAGAATTAAATGGAACAATAGAAACATATAGAACAGGTTGAGAGAAATGAAAGGATATGTATACATTTACAGTAATGTCCACACACATTAATATCTAGTTAACTATTCAAGTAAAGGAGGAATGTTTGTTTTCATATCACATATAAACTATCAAAACTTAATCTAATGCCTGAATAAGCTAAGATTTCCTATTTACTTTTTATAACTTGTAAATTCTGATACTGTAAGTTATGTGTGGATTCATAAAATTTTTTTCACAGTTTCATGAATTTAGAAAGTATCTTAATGATATCTTTATTTATTCTGACCACCCTGTGACTAGTGAGGCGACAAGTGGTGTACTGTAGCATTGTAGAATATACACTGTATATACTGTATATTATACAGTATATATAAAACATACTTTTTAATGTCCTTCACATTAATAGAAATTTCTTACACTTTTAGTGCATCTAGTCCAACATGTAGTATATATCAACTCTGTCGACGTTAGTTATTCAACAGCAGCAAACAAAACTCTTTGATATCATTATTATCGGACGGTTTCTATCTCCAATTATACAACAATTACTCTTCTTCTCGTGCAACATACTAATGTTAGTAATTGTAAATTATAATATAATAAATAGCTGGTTGAGTCAGGTACTTGGATAATTAATGTAATGTTATTAATATATTACTATATTGTAATTACCTACACACTTACGTTTTCTCTTGTTTTTAGCACTAAAACATTGATCCTCCTCGATGACGCGCAAAACGGACACCGTAAACGTGGTGACAAATGTGTACCATTGTGAACATTATCAAACAAGAAAATTATGCAAAAATTAAGTCAAATTTTTCTTGATATGTAAAGGTAGACATACAAGAGGCGCATGTCATGCCGTTCCATCGCCTTCCTTTGACATTTCGGGCTCAGCAACTGAGGCTACAAATACTCGATGTTGCATTGAGGAATTGTCACTCTTATTTGGTCGCGGTGGTAAGCGGAGCGGCCAACACGCCAGAGGTAAGTGATGATGGAGGAAAATTAGTTATAATCACAAGTCACACTAGTAACTACGGTAAGAATATAATAAGGAAAATATTAGCTTAGTTCTCTTCAATATGAATTCTGTAAAAGTGAAGAAACAGTAACGAACCGTGATTTTTCTCTTCATGTTATCATGCATTTAGTCATAGATTATGCTAGGAAGAGCTCCATATACTCCTGAGGGATGAATGCACTGCTCTTAACGGTAGAAATGTAATGTAATTCTAAAGTAAAATTTGCATAAAATTTACGTTGCAAAAAAAAAATATATATATATAATACTAGCATCCAGACAATGGAAACACTCTAGGTTTAGGCCCCAGACCAGATATCCCTCCTCCTAGTCACAGGCCTGGCATTTGACATTATTAGGGACCTGCCACTCTTTGCCATAAACAGATAAAATGTACCGGGAACTTTCCCCCCACATACTCATCATTCTCTCACTTTATGTAACTTGACAGAACCTATGACCCTTCAGGCTTTTACGCCCTTAATGTACGAGTCATAAAGGCAAGTATGAACTTTTCATACTTCCCTATTGGGCGCCGTAAACGCTTCTGCGCTTCACCTTGCACAGGATGTAAGGGGGTGCCCAATAAACTAGCCCCCTCGGGAGCAAATCTGAAATCTGAATCTAGGTTTAGGCAAAATAGGTTTATGTTGAGATGACTATTTTAGCGCTTGGTAAAATTAATATACCTTGAATATTTTATATACATTAATCTGAATTTAAATTAACAGAAACTATACTGGTATTGAATTGTAATTGGTGAAGAGTTTGCGAAATAAACCTCGTTTATTGGGTGAAAACTATATTATTATTAGTAGTAGTACTATAGTTAGGTACTGCTACTGCTACTAGTCATAGGCTTTAATAATGATATTGTTAATAAATTTTAGTATTAAAACTTATTATCAATATCATTATTAAAACCTATGACTAGTAGCAGTAGCAGTACCTAACTATTTACCATTACTATAATTTTTACTCATTAATTATTATTATTATTATTATTATTATTATTATTATTATTATTATTATTATTATTATTATTATTATTATTATTATTATTATTATGATTATGATTATGATTATGATTATGATTATTTTTATTATTATTATTATTATTATTATTATTATTATTATTATTATTATTATTATTATTATTATTATTATTATTATTATTATTATTATTATTATTATTATTATTATTATTATTATTATTATTATGAGGACCTAACACAAGTAGCCATACAGTCCCTTAGTTTTTTCTAATATTGTTAATGCTGTAGCAGAAGTATTGTAGAACTTAAAAAACAAGATTTTTATTCATATTCCTGATATTCCAATTTAAAGAATATGTAAGAATAATAATAGTACTGTACTTTATTAAACGAATAAGCTAGTATTTATTATTGGTGCCTATTATTAGTAGCAATAGTAGTAGCACCAGAGTATTATCATCATTATGACTGCTGTAATACTCAATCTGAATAACGCCCATGAAATTGGATTTTATTGTAAGAGAAGTTAGAAAGTAGTTTCGTTTTTATTAAGGACATTCAATAGCCTAAATTTTTGGAGAATTCCGTGGCCATGTTTTATCTCTTTATCCGGGAATGGTTCATAGATCAGGGGTCCGCAACCTTTGTACACTAGTCGGCCACTTACAGATGCAAGTAATCAGCGATCGGCCGCAGGTGTACTAAGCCAACATAAATCAGCACTGCGTTCCACAGACTTAAATGTAAAATCGGTAATACTATTACTATATTCTATTATCAGCATTTTTTTAAACAACACCAGTATTTAAAACTAAACAAACCTTTCATTTTCAGCATAGACATATTCTACATTGAAATATTAGCACTAGTCACTAGCCTAGTTAAGTATTGTGTGAAGAAATTGGGAAACATATCTGGTTTCTCGTTTATTTCCTTAATTTCCCTGCCTTTTATTTACACCCAAAATATAAGGAATAATAACAGTCTTACCGGCCACATTGCCCGAAATTTAGACGTCACTCAGCCGGCCGCACACATACCCCAATTTTCCGGCCGCATACGGCCGGAAAATTGGGGTATTGGGAGAGTATTAACACTAGCTAATTCATGCTGACCTCATATGACCAGCAAGCAGTAGCAGTTAGCCAGTGATAATTTAATAAATTGTTCGGTTATGACTTACACTTCCATTATAAAATGATCTAGGTCAGTGTCATAATTAATAGTTGCCGACCTTAACATAACTGAACACTAAACATTTCTGTGAGCCTCGTCCGACGCAAAATGTTTAATCCTTATTTTTCTCTCTTATTCATCATTATTTTGAAAATTTCACAATGTAAGTGAAAAACTATGAGATATCTGAAATTTGAAAACAATGCAATAGCTTAACAAACATATTACCAGTTATTTATAATCTCAGTAATAAATCATTATAATTTGCATTGCCATGTTGTCATTATCATTATGACAGAGCTGTGGTGACAGGGTGGAGAAGACTGAGACTCTTACCAGACTGTTGCGAAGAAGTAGTGTGTTAAGAGGCAGCTAGAGTGATGGTTCAAACGCTTCAGGAGGCCCTGGAGGACCCAGAGATAATCCGCGGCCTACAACACCACCCCAGGACCTTCAGGTAACAATACCTATCTAACATCATCTCCTTAATACCTAAGCTGTAAGTAAAAAGTAAATATCTTTTCATCTAACAAAACTTTAGGAATTATAAGTCGTACAATCAAATACAAAGGAAAAAAAATTCCTTAAGTTTCATCTTTCGTACCTCCCTCTTTGGACTACTGTATACAGGACTGGATACCATATTCCTTCATAAATTCAGGACATCTCTAGAAGATGTTCAACACAGAGCGATAAGGTCAATTCCTGAACTAAATCATCTCGATTTTCCATGTAGCTTTTAGGCCTTAGGACTGACAACTCTTCAGACAAGACACAATAGGACGAATCTCAAAGACATTCAAATTCGTGAACGAGGTGGAAGAGGTAAATCCAGATAAAGTTTTCGTTACGTTCGGTCTACCAACACAACAGGACACAAATTCAAGCTTGCTAAGGTGTTGTACAAGAGGAATATTAGGAAAAAAATTCACATAGAGGGCAGTAGACCTACAGAACAGTCTACCAGTTCAAGCTGTGTAAATAAGAACAAATCAGCCCTGGCCAGGAATATCAAGAACATTTAGGCCACCTCTAGGTGGGATGGCCTTCAGGTAATTTTTTCAAGTAAATGGCCTCTTCAGACGTCATCGAATACACATTCATCCAATTACAGATGGTGGGCCTCAGAAGGGTTCGGCCTTGCCACCCAGAAGTCCAAAAAATTATTTTTACCAAGTGCACTGTTGGAGGGTACTATGTTTCTATGGTTGTCTAGTGTTATGTTCACACATAAATCTTCTCCCCGTTGTATCCCTCGAGGAGAGAGTCTACATCACAAACTGCTGTGTACGTGTGACATGACATATTGTGAGGTGGTTTAATGCTCCTACATATCGCTGTCCTGCTGACCTGTGTAGTGAGGCTGTCTTACGAGTTTCCCAGCTTTAGTGTTTCCCTCTTGTGGTCATCTGTTCACTTCGCAGTGGTGGGTACTGATGTCACAGTCATCCTCTTACAAGGTCTGCCACACCTTTCAAGTCCCATTTTCCCGGGGCATCCCAACACACCATTGTGTAAAGCACTATAGAGGAAGACGCTATACTGTACATGAAACAACGTTTTTCTGAAGACTGACAGTAACTAATATTAAGGGAGTATTTAGCTTTTGGACACTGGGAAAAGTCAGCAAGATATATATCATGATAACATGTTATTATATATTATCAATAGATGTACTATAAATATCATTATCTCCATATGGAACAGAAGTGTTTCAAATTAGAGAAATAAAAGCTATCACGTTCCTCGATATGTTTAATGGTCCAAATTGATTAATTTAAAATTAATTTGGTGGCAAGGAACGCTGAAAAGAATGAAAAATACAACACAGGTTTTGGAAGAGCCGTTGGATGACACGGTTGTAGGAGAGTTAAAGATTTATATTATGATGGGTATGACGGAAGCATATGAAAATTTCACCTAAAATGTTATCAAAGAAGTTCCGCACAATAAAGGTAATGCAAAAAGTATACCGTTTGTTTAGGATAAACAACCTAAATAGAAACTAATGTGTGGTGTGATGGTGCAGGTTCACGGAGGAGGTGAGGGTGGTGCTGACGGTGGTGGAGCGGCCGCCTCACCTTTATGTAAAGGAACAGGATGATGGCAGCCTCAGTGTATCGGGACCCATGGCTAATGTCCTCCATGTTATGGCGAGCTCACTCAACTTTACGTGAGTCAACTTCTGAAATAGTTACTCTTTATCTCTTATTTAGTGGATAATTTTTCTCGATATATAGATTGAAGGAAGTATCTAACTAGCTTACTCAAGTAACAAAAAGTAAGAATATAGATGCCAACACACAATTTAATGGCTTCCATAAAAAAATCATATAGATATAGAGATGCATATACAGATTATAAGAATATTAATGTCTCTTGTTTTTAGCTATAATGTTACTAGCACATAATTAAGTTGATAGTAAGTGTTTGTGTGGTTCACAGGTACCATCTGATCAGACCTGTTGACAAAACATACGGATACAAGATGGACAATGGGACCTGGTCTGGCATGACAGGTCACATCCGAAGGAAGGTAAGTATTGGCCAACATTAGTAGACCATTTACACTAACTCTTCACAACGGGGCGGCATTTTTTAATACTTTATTTGGCTAACGCTAGACGATTTTATTCATCTCAGAGGGGAGCCCGTACACAGAGGGTTAAACTATTGCGGAATGATGTTTTGGGAGCATTAGTCAACCTAGTGTCCAGCTATTCTTGTTGAGAATAATCTTCCGTGTTCCTTTATAATGGGAGGTAATTTTCCACCTTTCTCTCTAGCTGCCGGCAACTCTCCCCTGCATGGGTATATTATCCTATCTTCCCACATATATTGTTTTCAGATTTGGGGGAAAATGTTTTCTATGTTAACAAATAAGGAAGAGTTATATCTAGCCTATTTCTCTGTCTAACAAATGCCTAATCCACGTTTTCATTGTGGATCTACATGATATATATATATGCATATATACTGTGTATATATATATATATATATATATATATATATATATATATATATATATATATATTCAAACACTCCACGACCCCAATTGACCTCCCAATCAAAATATACAAGGAGTTTGCAGTCGAACTTGCCACCCCCCTCTGTTCTATTATTAATGCATCCCTCAGACAAAGCAAATGCCCTAATGAATGGAAAACCGCATTTGTCACCCCCATCCCCAAGGTCACCACCCCACAGTCCCCTAACGACCTCAGGCCAGTTGCCATTACCCCCATACCCAGTCTACTTTGTGAGGACTTTGTTTTTGAGTGGGCATTTGCAAGTATATATCAGTCAATTGATTCACAGCAATTTGGCAATATGAGGACCTCCTCTACATCACACTGCTTGGTGAGCCTTCTGGATTTTCTGCACAAAAACTTGCAGAAACGCAAGACATCACTGGCCGTTGCCCTTGTGGACTTCAGGAAGGCCTTTGACCTTGTTGATCACTGCACTGTTATCAACAAGGCTATTGCACTAGGGCTGCCAACCAACCTCGTCTCATGGCTCACTTATTTCTTGAGTGGACGTCGCCAAGCAGTGAAGTATCAGGGCTTGGTCTCTACATTCCAACACCTCACCTGCCGTGTTCCCCAGGGGACCAAGATGGGACCACTGTGCTTCCTCACCCTGACCAACGACGCTCTATCGGACACTCCTCACAGGTGGAAGTACGTGGATGACTGCACTGTGGGGGTTTCAGTGGACAACACAGCACCAGACTACTCATCGCTCCAAGGCACCCTGGACAGGCTACAGGCATGGACTACGGAGAACAAGGTCACCATCAACCACACCAAAACCGTAGTCATGCACATCAATACCGCCACTACTCCAGTGCAAGCCCCAGCAGTCACAGTGGGTGCCCATCCTCTCCAGCTGGTGCAGTCTGCCACACTCCTGGGTGTAACTATAGACAACAAACTTGACTGGAAGGCCCATGTAAATAACACAGTCAAGGCAGCCTCGTACCGTCTCTACATGCTACGAAGACTTAGGTCACTTGGGACACCCACGCCAGAGCTGAGGACCATCTACAATGTCTTTATTCTCCCCAAACTAACGTATGCGTCACCAGCCTGGTCGTCTTCTCTCAACTCTACCCAACAACGTCAGCTAGAGAAGGTACAGAAAAGGGCCTGCAGAATCATGCTCGGCGCAGAATACTCCGGCTACACCAACGCTCTCTCCACCCTGGAAATGCCATCCCTCAGTGACCTCCACCACCAAGCACTGGAAAGGTTTGGCCGTGGACTACTGCACCACCCTCGCCATCGCCACCTCCTCCCACCTGTAGCCCCCCACCCAACTCGCACAGTCCGCCACTACAACAAAATCCAGCCCATAAGAGCCCGCACCAATAGATATAAGAACAGCACCATCCCATCTATTGTTAAAATAATAAATAACTCCTGATTTATGTGCTGTACAGCTCTGTAATTGTATTCAATGCATATTATATCATTATGTCTAAATCAAATGTAAGTCTGTATATTTTCAGCCACCGGCTGCAACTCTATTAATAAACCGTTTATTATTATTATTATTTATATATATATATATATATATATATATATATATATATATATATATATATATATATATATATATATATATATTTATATTTATACTTATATTTATATATCCCCACAGGAAGCGGATATTGCTCTAGCACCATATACCCGCACCGAGGACAGGAATAAATACCTCGAATTTACTGATTCATTATACTCTGATGTTCTACAATGTGTTGCGGGAAAAGGCCAACCAGAAATCGACCCGTGGGGATTCCTGTTTCCGCTGGATTCCGTGGTTTGGACGGCACTGTTGGCATCCCTGGTGATAGCTTGGTTGGCAATGGTGGTGCTTGGCAGCAACAATAATAAAAAGAGTGTTGGACGCTTCACATGGATCACTGACTTATTTCTAGAACATCTAAGAGTAGCCCTTCGTCAAGGTGAGTTACAGTGTTCCTATATGTGCTAAACTTTGATACATATCATACTGTTTTGGAGAATCTTCTATTTGCAAAGGTTCGGTGGTTTAAGCTTTTAAGGATCCTTTAAATTTTCCCTTTTTTTAAAAATATCGATTTTTTTTCTTTGCAAAGACGGTTTATATATTGTTTCATAATTTTTAAAAACTTTTATGTGTTTGTTTTATGACTACATTGGACAGGAATCCAATTATGAGATATTAAATACGAAAAAACTATACATATTGTGTAATATAAATAATGTCTAATTATAAATTATCACAAATAAAAAAAATCGTTTATCGTTCAATGTCATATCATTTGTTTCGCATCTATGCAGACTTGCGCTTGGGGCAGCGACGTGGTAGTGAAATGTTGTTGGTGTTGGGGTGGATGGTTGTGACGATGATGGTGATGTGGAGCTACAGTGGCAACTTGGTCTCTCTACTGGCGGTGCGATACATCTCCAAGCCGTTGCAGACCCTCAGGAACCTGCTCGACTCCTCCGTCACTCTGATCATGACGCGCAACGACGTTTTTATTGATTTCCTTCTCGTGAGTTCCTGAAGTTAATCAACATAATTATTGTGATCAAACCCTAGGACACCTTTGTCGGCTGTGCCAACGACATTATAGGTCTTCTTCGGCCATATGAAAAGTCCTTTCTTAACATTCATCATCACGACAAAACATGACATAGTACAGAATGATCCAGTAGTGAGTTCTGTCCTCCAAACATTCCTGACTTGAAGTCGTTATAACATTAAAGTTGTCTTTACACATCATATGAGTATAGGATGGGCTAAATACTCTCCTATAAAATTCCTTTACTCTCCCTACTGCTTTTACTTTAACTTCTTATTCTTTGCTTCTCCAGAATCGTGTACAGTGTTAATAATTATAATAATAGTGTGTTGGTCACAGACAGTGAAGAGTGGTGAGTTGCAGGAGTTGGGAAATCTATACAAGGTGGGTCGGGTCAAATACCAGTTATCAAAAACCTTCCCGGACGTGATGGAGAAGCTGGTCACCAAGGGTCACCACGTCCTCTTCAGCCCTGGCCTCGCTCTTGACCGACTCGCTGCCAACTACTTCGCAAAAACAGGTGATCATTTTCTTTGATATATGTTCTCCGATAACAGGCCGATAGTAATATACCATCTGTACATAAGACAAAAACTCCATTTGTCCTGTTTTTATTTTGTTTTTGTTCTTTTGTTTAGGAAGAATAAAAAATAGCATCTTATAAGTCTCGTACGGTGTTAGCTAACAGAATTCATGTATATTCCATTTGTTGCAGGACGATGTGACTTCTATAAGATGAGAGAGTCCTTTTTCCCCCTCACCCACTGTATCGTCGCACTCAAAGGAAACCTACTTGTTCGTGCCATGAGTTATAGGTAAAGACCTTCATAGCTATACAGAGGCAGTGCTCGGAAATTCGGTGAGATGCGAGGTTTCTGTTTCCAAAGCAGGTGATCATTTTCAACAGCATTAGTCCTCCACTAATTTTCAAACATTAAACTTACTATTAAGTCTGGAGTTCTGTGGGATTCTTAGCTTTTACCAAGTATACGACAAAGTTCGTGACTTTAATGAAGAGTTGACGATAAATTATTTCCAGAACTAATAAAGAGGAGCTCTTTTAATATTTCCTCTGTAATAACCGTAGGAGTAAAAATATTCATAGAGAAATTAATTTTTTTGGTGAATGACAAGGAATCTATTACCAGGAGAGGAGAACCTTCAGGGAATATTTTTTTTTTTACATTCACATCACATAAAGTTTGAAGTTTGGTTTGGTGTTTCTGTCGAAGGACGATGACAGGTATATTGGGCCCGGTGTTGTTTGTTTGTTTCATAAATGACATGCCTGACGTTGGACACTCCTCCATGCAAATGTTTGCAGATGACGCCAAGTTATTTCGGGAAATTAAGAACCAAGCCTACTGTGAAGAGCTGCAGAAGGACCTCTGTGGGCTCCAAGAATGGTCGAAGAAATGGCTGCTGAGATTTCAATGTCACGAAGTGTAAGAGGATGCACCTGGGGCGTACCAACGGTAAGGAGGCGTATCATATGTCCCAACGAGATGAAAAAACTGCACTATTTGAGACTGAATGTGAGAAGGACCTAAGTGTGTATGTTGACAATGAGGTGAAGTTCTCGGGCCATTGCGAGAAGAAGGTAAATCGGGCAAATAAATTATTGGGTCTTATAAGAAGGTCGTTCAGATATCTAGACGGTCCGTCCCTCGTAACGATCTTCAAGAGTGAAGTGCTTCCCCATCTGGAGTACTGTCACCCCGTCTGGTCCCCGAGATATGCTAAAGACTGTCAGTTGGTTGAAAATGCTCAAAGGAGGGCCACCAGACTGGTGCCTGCACTTCGGCACCTCAGCTACACTGAGAGATTGGAGCGTCTGAACTTGCCTAACTTATACTACAGACGGGCAAGGGGTTACCTAATTGAGGTGTATAAGCATCTCAGGGGGCACTACTCAGTCGAGTGTCCTTACTTGGAGCTGGCGGACGCTCGCCCCACAAGGGGTCACAGCTCAAGATTGAAGAAGCCGCATGTCCAGAAAACTGTGAGGGCAAACTTTATCGGAGTGAGAGTTGTGAACTCTTGGAACAATCTACCAGAAAGTGTTGTGACGGCACCGAGTGTGAGCTCTTTCAAGACAAAACTTGACCAACACTGGAGCAGGTTCAGGTACATTCAGGAGCCGGTGCATGCCCAGTACTTGGCAACAGTGCGTAACAGAGACGTGACCGATCACCCAAGTGGCTAACAAACCGATCAGTGGTGAAGATGACAAAACAAATAAAATCATAAAATATATGGCCTCTATTCATATATCTGTCTGCTGGAGACATTGTGTGGTGTTTCTCAGTTGAGGTTGGCAGAGGAACCTGGTCGTTTCTTCTAATTATGTCTCCCTAAATTAAGTCTTTAGAATATGTCACAATTTGTCTGTAAGAATAAGAGGTAACGAGTGTTTACCGTGTCAGGGTGAGGGCCATACTGGAGTCTGGGCTGTACGACCACTGGTTGATGAGCAGTATCCCCTTCTCCACCGTGTGTCGCCATGCGCCCTCCATCATCACAGAGAGGGAATCTCTCGCCATCAACAACCTCTGGGTAAATGCAGTATTTTCTTAGCTTCATTATCATAACAAACTTTAAAGGCTGTGAACGGAGAGACAACTGGTCTTGTTTCCGCATAAGAACAAAAAGAAAATATTTAGGGTATGAATATTTTCATGGATATTTAAAGCATTTTTACTTGGTAGTGCTTATTAAAGGGTGAAATAATTATTTGCCTTTATATATATATATATATATATATATATATATATATATATAATGCTCATTTTCCTTTTATATATTCAGGGGATGTTGGTGGTGCTGGGCGCAGGACTTCTGCTGGCTCTGGTCACCTTCTGTCTGGAACTTTATGTCAACAAACGCAGTGGTGACGGAGTCTCATAGTCCTCCACATCGTCACGTCACATCTCAACACCCAGCGCAACTGTGACGACTTAGCCACATGTACTGAGTCTGTGTCACAAGCTCATACTCATCGGTACTGACAAGGCTATGAGAAGTTGCCACTGATCATCATCACCACTGACAGGGAAGTCGTCAAGCTGACCACCAACCTATGCAGTTGAACCTGACAATTAATTTTTGTTTTGTTTTATACATTTTTAAATAAGCCCGAGTAATAGCAATGTTCAGCCGGAAAGTTTCCAGCCATTGTTCTACGCACCTGAAATTTCCGTGTTATAGCTACTCAGTACAGTACCTTTATATGTCTTATTAAGTCTACTGAAAAAGTCTGACCGCAGTTAATGTTTATGTATAAATAAACTATTAAACTAACATCAAGTCGTTTGAACTATTACTATTATGTTCCACTTTTACCAAATATTACTAGCATGGAGTCACTTAAATCTTTGGTTTCTGAATTTGAAGCACAAAGAAAATACCACCAATAATTAATATTACTCCTATATATGGTATATGAATACTAAAAGTCTGCCTGTGGGAGGAGAAAGAACAACATGACATTAATGGGATTAGTGCCAGGGGCCATACAGAGGAATCACTAGGTGAATTATATTTTCTGGAATATCACACACAATTCAGAAAGGATGAAACCTGGTCCTAGAATGACAATAAGCGAGCAAACATGACCTAAATGATTAGTTTCCATCAGGTTTCACAGAACTGTAAAGATTCAGATTTCAGATTTGCCACCGAGGGGGCTAGTTTATTGGGCACCCCCTTACATCCTGTGCAAGGTGAAGCGCAGAAGCGTTTACAGCGCCCAACAGGGAAGTATGAAAAGTTCATACTTGCCTTTATGACTCGTACATTAAGGGCGTAAAAGCCTGAAGGGTCATAGGTTCTGTCAAGTTACATAAAGTGAGAGAATGATGAGTGTGTGGGGGGAAAGTTCCCGGTACATTTTATCTGTTTATGGCAAAGAGTGGCAGGTCCCTAATAATGTCAAATGCCAGGCCTGTGACTAGGAGGAGGGATATCTGGTCTGGGAGGGAAGAGGTGTTGGTAACGGCTGGGGACCTGTAGGAGGAGGTCATAGGGCAAGTGAGGATGTAGTGAGAGAGGGTGTGAGAGTCGGGTTGGACACAACTGTAAAGAAACAAATTTTTTTTCCTGACCGCTTACACCAGGTTATACCTGTTTATTAGAAAATTATATTCACTGCCTCTATTACCTAGATGGTTCCAAGACATAAAACCACTGACAATATCACAAACATGGTTCAACTTCAACTGCTTCACTCAGCATTTCATCTTGGATGATGACATAAGGTCCATATATTGTATAACCAGACAATTATCTCTTCAGACAATATAATAGTAATGGTTACTAAAGCAAGATGGCTAGTTATTTATAATTTTTACTGAAAGAACTGAAGATTCATGCAAGACCTTCTAGTTATGCACTACAACAGAGTTTCACAAATGGGGGTTCACAGCACATTTTCTAGTCCTATGGGATCCACGTATTGAAAGTAAGCAAGCTATATTTACCCCAGACCGGATCAAGTGCACTATGTTCTTTTTTATTATATATATATATATATATATATATATAAAAACTTTTTTTTTACGGGGATTAGCCCCCCCGGGCAGAGATCACTGACCCACATCGGAGCCTGGGGGGGGGGGCGAAAACGTAGTACTGTAGTAGTAATAATAATAATAATAATAATAATAATAATAATAATAATAATAATTATAATAATTCAGGTAAGTAAAATTTAAAAAAATACAAAAAAATAATAACAAAATAATAATGATAACAATAACACTGCAATAATAATAATAATAATAATAATAATAATAATACTGCAATAATAATAATATAATAATAATAATAATAATAATAATAATAATAATAATAATAATAATAATAATAATAATAATAATAATAATAATAATAATAATAATAATAATAATAATAATAATAATAATAATAAAGAACCATAAAGAAATAAAAAAAAAGATCAAGAGTGAGAAACAATATTTATGTGTTGTGTTGTCAATGTTAAAAGAAGCAATTGAGACCCCGCAATTGTGTGCAAATGAGGCAGAAAGTCAGATTAGCAACCTTGGACTTGGTCACAATTTTCGCGATGCCCTTTGGCAGCAGCATCTACCATTAGATAACACATTATGCTTCCAATATCTTCCCAGGCGGTAGTACCTCCCTGTTTGGCCTATCTCCCTTCTACCTACAATAATGTACCATTATGGAAATGTGTGCATTTTAACAAAGAATCTGTAATAGACATTATGTACTATTTGTTTTCCTCTTCCATTTTCCTGCTCAAGCACAGTGGAATAAACGACAGCTTTATTTGCTTCCCACAAGTAAAAATGATAAAAAGTATAATTGAAAATAAATGAGTAAGTAAAAAGATTTGACAATAGTTCAATAATAAACAATGGCGTCATTTGGTCTTCATACAGAAAAACAACAGGAAACAAAAACAAAATATACACGATTTAATTCCCCCAACCAAATGCATAGATTCTTAATGTAAGAAACAAATTTTCTTCTATAAACGTTTTGTGTGAGGTGGCTAGTTAACCCAGGCCCTTGTTCTGAACTGTTACTATTAAATTACAGTCTCAAAAATAAAAATGAAATAGAAACGGATACCTTACATATAGGTGTTTACAGTATACAGTTGCTCCTTCTCATAGATAAATAGATAGATAGTGTGCTGAAATTCTAGCCCCTGTGCTTGCTCGCTTCTTTCGCCTTTGCCTCAAAACCCAAGCTTTTCCTTCTTCTTGGAAGCATGCCTCGGTTCAGCCCATCCGAAGAAGGGTGACTTTTCTAATCCCTCTAACTATCGCCCTATTGCCCTAACTTCATCCCTCTCTAAGATTTTAGAAACTATCCTAAACTCCAATTTTCTTCGTCACCTTGAACCCTTTTCTCTTTTGTCGGATCATCATTATAGTTTTCGCCAAGCGAGATCTACTGGAGATCTCCTCTCCTACTGTAACCATCTTTGGTCATCCTCTCTTAGGGATTATGGGGAATCTTTCATCGTGGCCCTCGACATCTCCAAAGCATTGACAGGGTATGGCACAAGTCTTTGCTTTCTAAACTTCCCTCTTATGGTCTCTCTCCCCCACTTTGTTCTCATAAATTCTTGCTTCCTTGAGAACCGATCCATGGCAGTTGTTGTCGAGGGATCTACCTCTTGCCCCTTCTCTCCCAATAGTGGTGTCCCACAGGGTTCTGTTCTTTCACCTACTCTCTTCTTTCTTTCTATCAATGATTTACTTCACACTACGACTAATTCTATCCATTTTTATGCTGCTGATTTTACTCTTCACCCTTCTTCACATTTTCCCTTCCCCCTAATTCTCAAACTAGAAGGGTTTCTAGAGCTGGTATCATTACATCTATCAATTCGGATCTGCGCAGCATCTCTGAATGGGGAGGTAGAAACTTGGTTAAATTCAGTAGAAATAATACTCAATATTTACTAATTACACTTTCCAAATTAGACGATCTCCCACCAAACACATTTCAGGATGCAATCATTTTGCCAAACTCTAGAACAGATATTTTTTTTTCGGGAATTAGCCCACCTGGACACAGGTCAAACGACCCACAAGAGGGCCTGAGGGGGGGGGGAGAACAGAAAGAAATTGAAAATAGAGAAGAAAAGGGTTATACTGTGTTAATCTACACCATGAAGATGCCGGAAAACCAGCTTTTTAAAGTGAGACAGATTGTATAAGTATGGAAACACAAATGAAAACAGAGCATTCCACAGTTTGACTGTGTGAGGAAAGAAGGAGGTACTATAACTTTTTTTTTTTTATTGGGCACCCCCTACATCCTTGTGTAAGGTGAAGGGCAGAAGCGTTTACAGCGCCCAACAGGGAAGCATGCTAAGTTCATGCTTGCCTTTATGTCTCACGAGAATCCTGAAGAGTCAAGGGCGTAGAAGCCTGAAGAGTCAGTGGTTTATGTCATCAAGTTATTGGAAGCTCCAACAACTCCCTGAATACGAATTCGCAACTTTCGACTTACAACAGGTACCTACTTTTACTGCTAGGTGAACAGGGACTAATGGGGGCTAGGAAATAAGTCCAAACAACTTCCACCGGCCCGGGAATCGAACCCGTGACATCTCGCTTGCGAGGCAAGAACGGTACCGCTTCTACCACTGGTCCCCCCAAGGTACTATAACGGCTTATTCTCGTGTGACCGACATCCACAGTGAAATGGTGGGCACCGCGGGCAAGACGTGTGTTACTAGCCCACGGCTTTGCCGGCGGTACACAGGATGCCAAATCCACCGAACATTGCCCGTTAAAGTACCTGTAAAAGAGAGAGAGAGTGAAGCAATATTACGGCGAAGAGAAAGGGGAGAGAGATTGTCGACTAAAGGAGGAGAGTTAATAAGACGAAATGCCTTTGATTCCACCCTATCTAATAGTTGGACAGAAGAAGAGCCAACCCAGATATGAGAGCAGTACTCCAAGTACTGTTAGAGAAGCCACACATCCTCAACATAGCTAAAGCTGCCTCCCGAAAGCTGGGAATACTGTACAGATGCTGCAGCTACTTCTCTCCTGAGCAGTTGCTTCAAGTATATAAGGGATTCATTCGTCCTAACTTGGAGTAATGTTCTCATATCTGGGGTGGCTCTTCTTCTGTCCAACTATTAGATAGGGTGGAATCAAAGGCATTTCGTCTTATTAACTCTCCTCCTTTAGTCGACAATCTCTCTTCCCTTTCTCTTCGCCGTAATGTTGCTTCACTCTCTCTCGTTTACAGGTACTTTAACGGGCAATGTTAGGTGGATTTGTCAACCTGTGTACCGCCAGCAAGGCCGTGGGCTCGTAACACTCGTCTTGCCTGCGGTGCCCACACTTTCTCTGTGGCTGTCGGCCACACTAGAATAACCAGTTACAGTACATCCTTCTTTCCTCACACAGCCAAACTGTGGAATGCTCTGCCTTCTTCTGTGTTTCCATACTCTTACAATCTGTCTCACTTTAAAAAGCTGGTTTTCCGGCATCTTAGTGGTGTACTGTAGATTAATATGGTCGTGTTCTTTTATATTTTTAATTTCTTTTTACTCTTATTTTTTCGCCCCCCAGGCCCCGTTGTGGATCGTTGACCTGTGCCCAGGTGGACTATTCCCTTAAAAAAAAAGATAAATAATAAAAAATAAATAAAAAATACACACAGATTGATAAATAATAAGCAGCTATCAAACAGGGAGGTACTACCGCCTGGGAAGATATTGGAAGCATAATGGCATCACGAAAATTGTGACCAAAGTCCCAGGTTGCTGATCTGACTTTCTGCCTCATTTACGCACAATTGCAGGGTCCCAGTTGTTTCTCTTACTTTGACACCACAACATACTGATTTTTTTTCATTTTTGTATTTCTTTATGGTTCTTTATGATTATTATTATTACAGTGTTATTATTATTATTAATATTATTATTGTTATCATTATTATTTTCCTATTTTATTTAAATTTTTTATTTTTTATTATAAAATTTATTTACTATGAATAATTATTATTATTATTATTACATTTTCGCCCCCCAGGCCCTGATGATGGGTCAGCGACCTGTGCCTGGGTGGGCCAATCCCCGTAATAGATAGATAGATAGATAGATAGAGTTAGTTAGTTAGTTAGATAAAGACCCTCACCTAGTTAAAGTATTATACAAGTTCACAATGTTTCAGTATGATAGAATAGACAGTGCAGGTATACAGTGTATACCGCATCGTACGGTTCACTCAGACCACACCGGGTGAAACCCGTTTTTTGTTGGAAAGCACTGTTTTCGGCCTAGCTCTAAACGATGGTAGTTGATAAGATCTCTTTACTACACTGCAAATAAAGTTGGAAGCCCTTTGAAAATAGGGAGGAACATCGATCTGTGGCAGACAGAAAACTATGGGCTTGGCTTTCGCGTTCGTCAGGTGCTCTCGTCACCGCCAGTGAGTGAGTTTGAGGAGCTGGTGGCCAGTCACAGTGGCCGGCCCACAGTGAGCCAATAAGCAAGGAATCCCATTCTCCCTCAGTTCTCTTTTGTTGTGGCGGGATCTACACTCTGAATAACAGTAGCTGCATATGAATAAACAGCTACATTTATTTAGTAATATTTATTGCCGGTTAGCGATAACTCCTATGTATTTATCCTTTTTCGAAAATTCTGGACTGGTAATAAGGGATCATGTAGGTCGTAAAAATACAAGTATATGAAGTTTCATACAAAATCTAACCTAACCTAACCTAGCTTATCCTACTTTAGGTAAAATTTTGCTATTTTATGACGCCTTACCTGAAACAGATTACATTTTAACATGGGGTAATTAACTTTCATTGATTTAGAGTGAGATATCCCTCCTTGCTTCCCACAACATTGAGGAAAGGCAAAGTTGACAAGTAAGAATAATGAGCGAATAATCTAGGGGTTGAAATATGTGGATGCAGGAAGTAAGGAACACTCACACAAGAATCACTGTTATAGTGACTGACAAATTTAAGTTATGAAAGGGATCAGAAGATTATTAAGTAAACTGAGTAATTTAAGAGCATACTGTATATATTAAGCATTGATTAAAATAGTTAATTAGATACATTACATAACTCGAGTTAAACACAACTATGAACTTATCAAAACACACCAGAATATTAAACATTAAATACACATACTATATACAACAACACAAAAGCCTGATAGAAATGGTAGCACAGGTAGCAAGTCTACTGTATGTTGCGATGGCCAACCACAAGGAACCAGGGATTAACGCTGTAGTCCACTACCATCAAACCAACACAACACCAGCAGCAGTAGTCCTTAATACAATTCTTCGTACACACCCCGGGAGAAGAGAAACACTGTAGGCCGCAGAGAAGAGACTGAGCTTACCAGACAGACACACTTACCTCGATACTTCGGTCTCATGGTCAGATGGGAAACTGGGGTCGAGTAGCTTCGTGAAGCAGTTTCTTCTGGTGTCAAGTTGGAGCAAGTGATGGTTATGGTGGTAGAGTGAGGAGGGGACAAATGCCGATTAGGTCTTAAAAGGTAAATGGGGTTTTTGCCGAATAAGGATAACCTTTTGCTGATAATGCTACAACTCAAAGGAAATTAATATGTATATGCTTAAAGTAGATTTGTTAAGATTAGGCCACGTTAGATTAAGGTTTGGGTAAGTTTTGTATTACAATATTCCTTTATGCAGTGTCGGGTATGTGTGTTATGTTCTCCCTGATCGCTTATGACTAGTCAGAAGTTTCCAGAAAAGATAAATGGTTAGAAATTCTTTTCTAATAATTTTGACAAATAAGGGTAACTTGTTATTTTCACTTCGACAAATCAATGGAAATATGTTCATATAAAGTATATTTTGCTTATCTTATTTCAGACGTATTTCATCACAATATAACCAAGTTATTGATCATGTTAGGTTATGCTTGTTAGAATAGTGATGATAATACTCATTTACACTGTAATTATTAACAAGATCGTACTAATAGACAAAACAGTTTCATTTGCGAAAAATGAAGTATTGTAGACGAAAATTATCACTGTTCCAAAGTTATCTATATTCAGCGAGACTTCATATATAAAATAATTGATGTATTTCCCATGATTAAATCTATATAAAACTATTGATTAACTTCATAACTTCAGTACCTGTGAGAGTTCCTGTGTGTGAGTCGTCAGTAGTGTAGCTACCTCGTCACCTCCCAGCAGCCCGGTCCCTCTGCTCATCAATTATAACAAGTCCAGGGCCGATTAAGTGGACTGTCAGCCTCACCTGCGTCCACTCACCAGCCTGAAAAGTTTTTTAATTTCCACCTAATTAATTATTTTATCTAAGTTAAGATTGGAAATTCAAGATTTAGTGACCTTGCTGATTACAACGCTGTGTACATATTCATGGTGTAATTAAACCCGTTAATTAGGAGCTTGACGTTGTTCTGGGTCTTCACTCGAGGCGACTTAATACATATTTTACAACCATTATTTTCTATCCTTCCTTCTATACATTTAAAAATATATTTACCGCGTTTTATGGAGCTACAGTAAGAGCTAAGAGCTCCAGTGCTCAATTTATTATTAAAATTTTACAAAATAATTGTTTCTTTTTTGATAAAACGTTAAGATAAATCACATAACCAATCATTTTACAATACCTCAAGCTATGACAATGATGAATCAAACACTGGGTTTATCATACAGAAAATATATACTTGCTGGGAGACATGTTAACACATGTACAGTTCCTATTTACACAGACAATATACCTAGACTCACTGTCATATGCGTACACAGTCATACAGGTACATAGTTATACAGGAACACACATGCAGGTACAGTCATAAGGTATAGTGGCAAATGGAAAATAACACAGAGGTACACCACGTCGAGTGGTAAGTCACACACAGACACAGTTATCCAGGTAAATAATCACACAAGTACACTTAATGCTGTCGAGTTACAGGAACATGAAGATACTGGCGTATACTCTCCCCAAAAAGTATCGACCCCCTGGGCCTGATGTATTTGGAAATGAACACAGTAACACGTGCACAACAGTCTCAGTTCGGTTGGTATTTCTGTTTGTGACTTGCACCTTTCGTTCTTTCTTCTTTCACCTGATAATTACCATGATACCTGCAGTATACCATTTATACTCTACATAATGTAATGAAATATAATGAATTGTGATACAATATGCAAAACCAATAACGTCATGAGTAACATCGCTGATTTGTGGACCTTAGATACTATTTCAGCCCCAGGGAATAGGTCACTAAATAGGAATATAACGTTACTATGTTTTCATAAACCGAGGTTACAATGGAATCATTTCGAACGAAATATGAAACACTATGATCCGATATTACATTAATTTGCAAATATAGTAATCACAGGTGTATTATGATGCCATATCCAATTACAATGACAGGATTTGCTGCATTTCGATATTATTTCTACCTCATTTGATAAGATAACAATTATGAATATAACGTATCATCTCATGATTCGTGCTGGCAACGGAACATTATTTGATACACACTACGAGACGTGTGTGTGGCTAAATCCCATCCCACCCCTTTCTGGACGACAGGTCGCTGGGCACGGGACAACGCACACACGAACATACATTAATGTCGACACACATTAATATCTAGTTATATATTCAAATAAAGAGGAATGTTTGTTTTCATATTCCGTATAAACAATATCTAAACTTTATCTTTAATGCCTGAATGAGTTTAGATTTCCAATTTACTTTTTATAACTTATAAATCCATAATAAGTTATGTGTGAATTTATAATAATTTCACAGCTTCATTAATTATTTAGAATGTATCTTAATGATAGAATTAGTATTGTGGAGTATATATAAAACACACTTTACAATGTTCTTCACAATACTAGACAGCTCTTACACTTTTAGTGCTTATAGTCCAATTTATATATCAACGCTGTCGATGTTAGTTATCCAACAGCAGCAAATAAAAGTCTACTTTGATTATAATCGGACAGATTCTATCTCCTTTTATGCAACAATTACTCTTCTTCTCGTGCAACATACACTGTACTTATGTATGCAACAAATTATAAATTATAATCGAATAAATAGCTGGTGGAGTTAGGTACTTTGATAATTAATGTAATGTTATTAATATATTACTTTATTGTACTGTAATTACCTAAACAATCACGTTTTCTATTGTTCTTCGTCCTAAGACAGTGATCCACCTCGATGACGCGCAAAACGGATTCCGTAAACTTGGCGACAAATGAACCATTATGAACATAATCACATAAGAACATTATCCAAAAATTAAGTCTAAGTTTTTCTTGATATGTAAAAGTTAATATGCAAGAGGCGCATGTCAGACAGTTCCATCGCCTTCCTTTGGCATTTCCCTCCCAGCGACTGAGGCTACAAATACTGTGTGGAGCATCAAGGCATCTTCACTCCATAGGTGGTTGTGGTAGTGAATGGAACTAGGAAACACGCCAAAGGTAAGTGACTGTAGATGAAAAAATAATAAGAACCACAAGTCACACTGACCACTACGGTAAAGGTACACTAGGGTAAATATTAGCCTAGTATTTTTTAATATTATGAATTCTGAAAAAGTGAAGAAACAGTAACAAGAAGACGGGATTTTTTCCCTTCACTTTATCATGTGTAAAGCGATACTATATCAGAGGAACTCCGTATTTTCCTGATGTATGTATGTAGTGCTCTTTACAGTGGATATGCAATGTAATCTTTAAGTAAAGTTTACCAAAAATTGTTTCTCGACAAAAAAGAAGCTATATATTAATTTTATCGAGACAATGGAAATGTCTATATAACGGGATATGCTTCATTTCTGTAATAACTAAAGTAAACATCAATGTCAGGTACGGATCTAAAAACTTTTCTTAGGGGAGGGGGGTGGAAGACAGAAATATATCCCTAAAATAATATATTACACTAGTGCACAAGGAACTATGCTAGTTATAGTGAAATCTTCCTCATTAACAGTGGAATTGGTAACACTCTAGGTTTAGGCAAGTTGGGTTTTGCATAAACTGTATAAAAATGGCGATTATATAAGGTGTAGATTAATACAGTATAACCTTTTTTTTCTATATCTACAATTTCTTTCCGTTCTTTTTTTTACCGTCCCCAGGCTCCGTTGTGGGTCGTTTGACCTGTGCCCGGCGGGCTAATTCCAGTAAAAAAAAAAAAAAAAAATATATATATATATATATATATATATATATATATATATATATATATATATATATATATATATATATATATATATATATATATATATATATATATATATATATATATATATATATATATACTCGGGATTTCTTGATCTACTTTTGTCCGTATTTAAATTCCCAGAAACTAGACTGGAGCTGAGTTGTAATTGGCGATGAGTTTGTTAAGTGGAATATAGTATGACCATTTGTCATGTAAAAAATATTATTAAGCCTACCTCCTATATTGACCAATTACTGTATTATAATTATTATTATTATTATTAGTAGTAGTAGTAGTAGTAGTAGTAATAGTAGTAGTAGTAGTAGTAGTAGTAGCACTAACAGTACCTAACATTTTTTTTATAATTGTTATTATGATAATAAGTAGTAGTAGTGGTAGTAGTAGTAGTAGTAGTAGTTGTTGTAGTAGTAGTGTTATTTATTAGTAGAGGTATTATTTTTATACTTTTTATTATTATTTTTGTTGTTATTACCATTATTACAACCTATTACAGGTACCAATAATAGTACCCTGGTATTTATTATCATTAGTAGTGGTGGTAGTAGTAGCAGCAGTAGTATTCTTTATTATCATAATAACCTGTTATTAGCTGTAGTAGAAGTACTGTACTATTTACCAAAAGTTTAATATTCATATTCCTGATATTAGAGTTTACAGTATATTTATGAATAGTAATTGTATGGTATTGCATTAGAAGGAGATGGTATTATTTATTATTGGTGCCTATTATTAGTAGCAATTGTAGCAGTACTAGTAGCAGTACTAGTAGCACCATAATCTTATCATCATCATCATCATCATTATTACTGCTGCTCAGCAGCACAACTTGACGTTGCCCTAACATTAGTTTGGTTAAATTAAGTTAAATCTGAGTTAGGCTGAGTTTGATTAAGGTTTGGTTACAGTCTTTCGTTTGTTACCAGTATACTATTTTTATTAAATATGTCGCTTAAGGTGACCTCTAGTTTAAATTTCAAAGAATTTCACAAAATATTCAAAAGTCGCGACGATCCAGTTGAAAAAGTCATGGGTCCGTCAAGTTTTCAATTAAATAGTACCGAGTAATATTGTTACTTAACATAATAATACAAGTAATTTACTAAAAAAAATGTTTTTATATGAGAGATGTGTGAGTAATTGTCCTTTATAAAGAAAACAAATATCACAGTAGTCTTACCATTTCAAAATCAACAATTATAAGTTCATCCAACACAGGAATAATGGCGATGTTACCGCTCCCGTCTGGAGCCATTGCATAAAGCTGTGTTCATATTCGATCTGCCACCACCCAACATTGGGGCTAGTTTACTGGGTGCTAACATTGTATCTAATTCATATTGACCTCATTTGACCAGCAGGCAATTACAGTTACCAGTAATCATGGATTAATTTGTTAGGTTGTAAGTTCTGTGATAAAATGGTCTAGATCAGTGTCATAATTAGTTCCACACTTAACATGATGCTTGGATTACCGACTTCAGAACATAACAATATTTATGTGAGCCTCACCTAATGCTTAATGTTTAACCCTTACAGTATTTGTCACGCTTACTGATCATTATTTTGAATAATGTACAGTACAATGTGAGTGAAAATTATGGGATATCTAAAAAATTTCAATAATGCAAGCGTTTTCCTTATTATCAATTGTTTATAATCTCAGTAATAAATCAATCGAATTTGATTTATGTTGTCATTATCATTATCACAGAGCTGTGGTGTCAGATTGGAGAAGACTGAGACTCTTACCAGACTGTTGTGAAGAAGTAGTGTGTTAAGAAGCAGCTGGAGTGATGGTTCAAACGCTTCAGGAGGCCCTGGAGGACTCGGAGATATTCCGAGGCCTACAACACCACCCCAGGACCTTCAGGTAACAATACCTAAGCTGCAAAAGAAGTATATTTTCATATTTTCCATTCAACCAACATTTAGAATTATAAGTCATACATTAAAATAGAACGGTGTAAAAATTCTCCTTCAACTTTATAAAATATGCTTCTCGTACGTCCCCATCTGGACTATCGTATAGAGGAGTTGAGACCATACCTCCAGAAGGACAACACCACTAGAAAAGGTGTAACACAGAGAGACTAGGATTACTAATCCTGAAATAAATTCTCTCGATTATCCAAGAAGACTGCGGGTATTAGTACTGATAACTCTTCAGGCAGGCATAATAGGACGAATCTCATTGACATTCAAAATCTTTTAAGAAATCGAAGGGTTGTTAATAAACAACCTAAACAAAAACTAATGTGTGGTGTGATGGTGCAGGTTCACGGAGGAGGTGAGGGTGGTGCTGACGGTGGTGGACCGGCCGCCTCACCTTTACGTAAAGGAACAGGATGATGGCAGCCTCAGTGTATCGGGACCCATGGCTAATGTCCTCCATGTTATGGCGAGCTCACTCAACTTTACGTGAGTCAACTTCTGTATTAGTTATCTATTCTCTTCAGAGGTTTAGTGGATAATTTTGTTCTCGAAATGGAGATTGAAGAGAGTATCAAATAACGTTCTTAAGTTACTACATATATTAGTGTAAAAAATTGAATTCTTTAAGATATTTGCAGAGTTAGAGATGAGAGGGCATAGGTCACTGTCACACTTCAGCACACTATAGATGTGGAATTTTAAAGGTTTACAGTTTAAAGTGTCTTGTGTACAGTGATGCAACAAACTCACTCAACTTAACAGAAATGATTTCATAATGTCTGTTCTTATTATCCTTACGCTGTATAGTTATTAATGGATATAAGTTGAGATTAATTAGAAATTTATGTTAATTATAATTTTATAGTGCTTCCTTTTTTTCTAGTCGGTGGTAGAACAAGCGAGCTGACTGAAGGGCAAACAAGTGACTTAATTAATTTTGGTTTGCATAACACACAATAGATGAAATGAAAATATGTAATTTGTAAACAATTTCCGAGCGAGTGACCTACACTCCATGGATTGATGAAGGTTGAAATTATATGGAATAGAACGGTGATCCGGAATAAGAAGTGGGAGAAATGAAGGAGGTGAACGATGATAAAGTTAGGCTAAGGGAACTTGGACAGAGTAAAGATGTAATGATATGGAAAAGTGTGTTTGCGTGTAGTGAGTGGGAGTGAAAAGAGGGAAATAATGGATTGTGCTAAAGTATCGGTAATAATACGGACGGATATTGATACTAGAGGGTGCTCTGATATATATTTTGCTAACTAAAATTCACGGCTGAAGATGATCTTATTCAAGAGGAAGAGAGAATGTGTGTTTTGGTGCTATTGAAGCTCCTAGATTATTTGTATCCCACTGATTTGTGGACTCAAGGTCTGTGTTCATTAATGTATTAGGGAAGAGAAGATCTACTGGGAGACGTGAGTGAGCGTGGGCAAACTTGTGGCTGGGAAGACTTTTGTGCAGGATCTTATCATCAGCAAAGGAGTGTTGTCGAATGTCAGTAATATGACACTCCAGCACTGATGGTATGAGCGTCCACAACTGCATAGATGCAGCGATTAACAATAAATGAAGAGACGCAGGAAATCAAGGAATCAACAAGACGGAAAAGTAGGTCCCAGGGAGAGAAAATACAAGGATATACCTTGTGACAAGGCTTGTCATCAGTTTAATAAATATTCATGACAGCAGAATAAGACTCTCCAAAGTTGCCAAGGGTATATATATATATACAGTATATATTCGTCACTTCTCAGCTTTCTAGCCACTCGAGCGGTTAGATTATCCAGTGTTAGTACAGGAAAAAAACCGAGGCCCGGGAATCCTGGGATGTTTGGTTAGAGTCATGCGGGATAGCACCCTCAAGTGTCACAGATATGTGTTTTCTGCTTCTTGCAATGATAGCGTTTTGATGAGTGCGTCACTAAAGAAAGAATCAAGATACCAACATGCAATTTAAGGCTGTCATGACAATTCATATAGCCATAGAGGTGCATATACAGACTATCAGAATGTTAATGTCTCTTATTTTCAACTGTAATATTACCAGCGTATGATTAATAGTGATAGTAATTGTGTGTGTGGTTCACAGGTACCATCTGATCAGACCCGTTGACAAAATATATGGCAGTGAGTTGGACAATGGGACCTGGTCTGGTATGACAGGTCACATCGTAAGGAAGGTAAGTATTGGCCAAATTTTATTAGACTATTTTCACTAACCCTTTCTCAACGGGGACACCATTTTTAGTATTATATTTGGCTAACACTAGACGATTTTATTCAACTCAGAGAGGAGCCTCCTTTACATGGTGTAGTTAAAATATTTCCTGTTCTATTAATTTTAGCTTTAATCCTAAGAATGGGCGGGCAGAGGTCACGAGGAAAGTGGGGAGATAATTAGTCATCACAGTCAGCCCGGATTAAATCGTCTGGCGTTAGCCAATAAGATGTTCAAAGTGGCGTCCAGTAATGAAGGGAATAATGGTAGCGCTGGCAGCCTCACACTAGGAGGCTGGAGATGGAAGGGAGCGAGGGATGGTACAGTATGACACGTCACTCCTGCACCTTCTTGGCTCATTTAACTGCGTATACCTGTACTGGGAGAAGACTGCAGCCCTGTGTACCCAGATATTAATCAGAAGGGCAAAGGGCGATTTAATAGAAGTTTATAAGTACCTTAAATGACATAAAGTCAAAGAAACTATCAGCACAGAAACTTATAGATCTAATTTCTTCGGAATATGAGCACATGTTTAGGTAAAGTACTGTACATTCAAGAGCTCGTGCATATCCAGTACTTGTCAACAGCGTGTAATAGAGAAGTGACTGACAGTATCCGGTAATTTAATAGTGTTTACTTCAATATGCCAATACCTGACATTTCAAACATTTCGTGTAGAATATAGATATATATATATATATATATATATATATATATATATATATATATATATATATATATATATATATATATATATATATATATATATATTTATTTATTTATTTATTTATTTATTTATTTATTTATTTATCCCTACAGGAAGCAGACATTGCTTTATCACCATATAGTCGTAGTGTGGAAAAGAATAAATTCCTCGAGTATACTCATTCAATATACTATGATTTTCTACAATTTGTTGCGGGAAAAGGTCAACCAGAAATCGACCCGTGGGGATTTCTGTTCCCGCTGGATTCCGTAGTGTGGGCGGCACTGTTGGCATCCCTGGTGATAACTTGGTTGGCAATGGTGGTGATTGGCAGCAACAATAATGAAAAGGGTGTTGGATGCTTCACATGGATCACTGACTTATTTCTAGAACATCTAAGAGTAGCCCTTCGTCAAGGTGAGTTACAGTGTTCCTATATGTGCTAAACTTTGATACTTGACATACTGTTTTGTAGAGTCCTATTCTATTTGCAAAGGTTCGGTGGTTTAAGATTTTATGGATCCTTTAAAAGTTTTCCGTTTTTCTTAAAACCGTCTTTTTTTTAATTTCCTTGCAAAGTTGGTTTATATATTTTGTTACACAACTTGTACTAAATAGTATGTGTTTGTTTATTGATTACTTTGAGCAGATTAATAATTATAAGATAGGAAAACTTCATAAAAATTAGAAATTAAACACGAAAAGATTAAATATTTTGCAAAGTAAATAATTTTTAATTACAGATTTATCATAAATATTTTTCAAAACAAAAAATCGTTTATCCTTCGAGCTTATATCATTTGTTTCGCAACTATCCAGACTTTTGCTTGGAGCAGCGACATGGTAGTGAGAGGATGTTGGTATTAGGGTGGATGGTTGTGACGATGATGGTGACGTGGAGCTACAGTGGCAACTTGGTCTCTCTACTGGCGGTGCGATACATCCCCAAGCCGTTACAGACCCTCAGGGACCTGCTCGACTCCTCCGTCACTCTGATCATGACTCGCAACGATATCTTCAGAAATTTCCTTCTCGTAGGTCCTAAAATTAATCAATATAAATATAGTGATCATACTTTAGGACACTTTTGTCAACAATTCCAACGATACACAAATTATTTTAGAGTCTCTTATTATACAAATATAGCTACCAAAATACTGTGTATTAAAATGGTGGTTAATAATTTATTTTATATAATGGCAATGTTGGTCATTAACAAGATATTTTCTTAAAAGTCTGCCTAATTTACACTTCCCTGCTTTAGTTCCTAAAAGATTTGTCTGCTAATAATTCAATTTTCTAACTAAGTGTAAGAGAATATTTCTTGGAATTCTATTCTCAGTGGGGTTGAGAAGTCATTTAAGAAATTAATTGTGCGCCATGGCTTAAGTGAGTTCGGTAGATACGTTCAAGGACTACAAGATCTGTTGAGTATCCTGACACCGGTTGTCAGTATTATGTTCTTAATATAATGATATTCTGGAGGGGTTTCTCACACGTCCTCTCCTGCAGCCAAATTTTAATATGAAAATTCCTTTCTTAACAGTCATCGTCACGACGAAACATGACATAGTACATAATGATCCAGTAGTGAGTTCTGTCCTCTAAACATTCCTGACTTGAAGACATTATAGCATTTAAGTTGTCTTTACGTATCATATGAGTGTAGGATGGGCTAAATACCCTCCTATAAAATTCCTTTACTCTTCCTACTATTTTTAATTTTATTTCTTATTCTTTGTTTCTCCAGAATCGTGTACAGTGTTTGTCAATTCGTTTGTTAATTATAATAATAGTGTGTTGGTCACAGACAGTGAAGAGTGGTGACCTGAAAGGTTTGGGGAATCTATACAAGGTGGGTCGGGTCAAATACCAGTTATCGAAAACCTTCCCGGACGTGATGGAGAATCTGGTCACCAAGGGTCACCACGTCCTCTTCAGCCCTGGCCTCGGTCTTGACCGACTCGCTGCCAACTACTTCGCAAACACAGGTGATCATTTTGTTTGATATATGTTCTCCGATAACAGACCAGTAAAAAGTGCCATCTGCACATAAGATAGAAACTCAAATTGTCCTATCCTGTTCTCCGTTTAAGAAATAGAAAAAGAACACATTCGAAGTCATGGATGGTGTTAGCTAACAGAGGTTCTTCATTTCTTCCACTTGTTGCAGGACGATGTGACTTCTATAAGATGCGAATGGCGCTGTTTCCCATCACCCACTGCATCATCGGACTCAAAGGAAATCTGCTCGTTCGTGCCATGAGTTATAGGTGAGGACCTCCATAACTAAACAGAGGCAATAGTCGGAAACTAAGTGAGATGAGAGTTTTCACATTTCTAATATAAGTCGTCATTCTTTCACCAGTTTTCAAACATTAACCTTACTGTTATATCTACAGTTCTATGGTATTATTAGCTTTTATGAAGGATACAAGAAAGTTAGTGACTTCAGTAGAAAGCTGATAAGAAACTGTTTCCAGGACTAATAAAAAGGGTCATTTCCTACAGTCCCTGTATAATAACTGTAGTAGTCAAAATATTCTAAGATATATATATATTTTTTTTAGTGGGACATGGGATCTTTGATAATAGGGGAGGTAAACCTTAAAGGAATAAAATAACTTGCACTCACTCTACACATTGTCTGGTCCTGGCCTGTCTCCGTAGTAGGACAAAGACAGGTATATGACCCTCACTCTGTATGTTCCGTCTGTCTGGAGATTTTCTATGATGGTTCTGCGTGTAGGGCCGTCTCTTTTAATTACGGTCTCCTCAACAATAAATATTTAATATACTGTAGGTCACAATTTGTCTGTAAGAATAAGAGGTAACGAGTGTTTACCGTGTCAGGGTGAGGGCCATACTGGAGTCTGGGCTGTACGACCACTGGTTGATGAGCAGTATCCCCTTCTCCACCGTGTGTCGCCATGCGCCCTCCATCATCACAGTCAGGGAACCTCTCGCCATCAACAATCTCTGGGTAAATGCAGAATCTTTTATCTTCATTATCAAAACAAACTCTCAAGGCTGTGAACGGAGAGACAAGTGGTCTTGTTTTCTTAAAAAAATGCATGCAGTCTTGGAATATATATACTGTATAGTACAGTATATATATATATATATATATATATATATATATTATAGTTACAATTGCTTAGTTTTTATTATTATATTCAGGGGATGTTGGTGTTACTGGGCGCAGGACTACTGCTGGCTCTGGTCACCTTCTGTCTGGAACTTTACGTCGACAAACGTTGCAGTGATGGGGCCTTGTAAACCTCCACACCGTTAGAACCCCATCACCCAGCACAACTGTAGCCACATGATGTACTGCGTTTGTGTCCCAGCTCTTACTCACCGTCACTGACGAGGTTGTGGGGAGTTGACTAACTGATATTCACCACTGTCGGGTATCGTCGAGCTGACTACCAACGTATGCAGTTGATCAAGACAATAAAAATATAATTGTATTACACCTTATTTCTTATGTACTTTAGAACAAGCAAGGTTATTTTAATATCTAGAAATATTTTTTTTTATTGTTCTGCACACCCGAAATTTCCATGTTATAGCTACTCAGTACAGTGCCTCTGTATGTTTTATGAAGCCTACTGTAAAATCTAAACGTAGTTAAGGTGTATGTATAAATATACTATTAAACCAACATTAATTCGTTGAACTATTCCTATTATGTTCCACTTGTACCAAATATTAGTATTCTGGAGTTACATAAATCATTGCTGACTGAATTTGAAATTTGAACAGAAATAAATAATCATCAAATAATTTTACAGTACTTCTATATCTGGTATATAAATGCCAAAACTATGCGTATGCGGAGAAAGAACATCAAGATATTAATGGGATTAGTGTCATGGGCCAGGCAGGTGTGTAACCAGGGGACTCTTATTTACCGGGATATCGCACACCATTCAGAAAGGAAAGACCTGGCCATGGAATGACAATAAGCACACAAAAGACAGCTTAAATGATTAGGTCCCCTCAATTTTTACATAAATGTGACGAAGAAAGTGTTTCCTGACCACGTACACCAAGTTATACCTGTATACTAGAAAAGTATATTCACTGTCCCTATTAACTTGATGGTTCCAGGACAAACACCCCTATCTCAAAATATGATTCTACTTCAACTGCTTTGCTTAACATGTCATTTTGGATGATGACTTAAGGTCCATATATTGTATAACCAGACCGACATCTCTTTGTGCAGTATAATAGTAACGGTTACTAAAGCAAGATGTCTGTTATTTTTATTTAATACTTAAAGAACTGAAGATTCATAAGAACATAAGAATGGAGGAAACTGCAGCAGGCCTATTGGCCCATACTGGGCAGTCCAATTTACACCCAACCCCTATTGCTCATATATCCATCTAGCCTATGTTTGAAGCTATCCATCGTAATGGAGTTAATGATGATGTTTGGTAACTTGTTCTACTCGTCCACTACTCTATTTCTAAACCAATGTTTACCTATTTCGAGCCTAAATCTAAATTTGTCTAATTTAAACTATTATTACGAGTTCTCTCCTTTTTGGATAGTTTGAGTACCTTTGTAATGTCCCCTTTGTTTAGCCCTGACTTCCATTTATACACCTCTATCATATCGCCCCTCACTCTCCGTCTCTCGAGGGAGTGCAAATTAAGATGCTTTAACCTGTCTCTGTACTCAAGGTTCCTAATGCCCGGGATTAGTCTTGTCATTTTCCTCTGAATTCTTTCCAAGGATTCTATATCCATTCTGTAATACAGTGACCAGAATTGAACTGCGCAATCCAAGTGAGGTCTCACAAGCGCAAGATATAGATTTAGGATGATCTCGCTAGTCTTGTAACTAATACTCCTTTGTATGAACCAAAGTACTTTATTAGCCTTGTTTCGAGCAAATACACATTGTTTACTTGGCTTAAGATTCCTACTTATCATTACTCCTAAATCTTTCTCGCAGTCGGATTTGTTCATATGGTATCTGGTTTCCCTGTTTACATCTCCTCCGCTGAGTACTTTACATTTGTTCACATTGAATTTCATTTGCCATTTTTCAGACCTTTCGAATTTTTTTTTTTAGATCTTCCTGTAGTTTTGCGGAGTCCTCGTCAGATTTAATTACACGCCCTATTTTAGTGTCATCAGCAAATTTACTTATGTTGCTGTCTACGCCGATATCTATGTCGTTTATGTATATAATAAAAAATAATGGTCCAAGTACTGAGCCTTGGGAAATCCACTAGTGACGTTGCTCCAATCGGATTTAGTGCCGTTAATGCTCACTCGCTGTTTCCTGCCGTGTAACCACGCCCTAATCCATTTTAGAATATCTCCTTTAATCTTATTAGTCTTTCGTGGGGTATTCTGTCGAAGGCTTTGCTAAAGTCGAGATATACCACATCATAATTGTGCTCGTCGTCCACTGATTAGAAAACAGATGGAATGAATGTTAAAAGATTAGTTAGACAAGAACGCCCGCTTGTGAAGCCATATTGGGAATCATTGATCAACTTGTGCTTCACCAGGTGATTTCGAATAGAGTTTGAAATGATTGCTTCCAGTAATTTGCCTACAATTGATGTTAGACTAATTGGACAGTAGTAAGAGGATAGTGATCTATCTCCCTTCTTGAAAATCGGTATTACATTCGCTATCCTCCAGGATTCTGGTACTACACCCGTTTTTAAGGACATGTTTAACAACTTTGCTAAGGGCATACTAAGCTCTTCCTTACATTCCTTTAATAATCTGGCAAATATCTCATCGGGACCTGGTGACTTATTAGGCTTTAGTTTGTCTATTTGCTTACTAACATCGTTACTAGTCACTACTATCTCGCTTAATTTATTTTCTTCACTATCTCTGTATAGAGTCGATGCCTCGGGTATCACGTTTAAATTTTCGCTGGTGAAAACTGTTGAAAAATATTTTTTCAGATTATTGCTCATTTCTTCATCGTTATCAGTTAGCTCGCTGGTATCTGACTGTAATGGTCCAATCGCTACCTTCAGTTCATTATTCCCTTTGCTTCTTATCTCGGTCTTAACCCTACCGGCCAATACCTTATAATAATCTCGGAGGTAAACTTCACCACGATATATTCTCCTACCTATAGCCTTCCTTTGTCCAATGATATTCTTTAAATAATCATTTATCCATTTAGGGTCATCGTTGTTTGATCTGAGTTTTCTGTATGGTATGTTCTGCCTTTGTGCATTAAGTAACTCATTATTTAAATTGTTGTGGAACTCGTCAACCTCAGATCTCGTGATCAGGTCATCCTCAACTGTCAGGTCTCCAGGTAAGGTGAGGTCGCCCTCTGTGGGTACATTGTGTGGGGTCACCTCATGTGAGGTAATGAAATTCACCCCAAACGTGATACCCCCTTCTCTCAGCTGCCTCTTCAAATTGTCAAAGTTTGCCCTTCTGAAATCTGGGACTTTAGTGGAATTTTCCTTGAGGCTGCCCTGAAATTCTAATTGTAATCTTATTTCCTTGTGATCACTGTTGGCAAGTTCGTTCCCTACCTCGACAATACTAATGAGGTTTTTCTCTGTCTGACAGAACTAAATCGAGTATATTATTACCCAGGGTGGGTTCGGTCGTGGATTGTTTCAAGAAAATCCTCTGATTCTGAGCTACCCGTAAAATCAATCCAATCTATTTGGCTAAAGTTATAGTCGACTACCATACAGACTTTGCTATGTATGGAAGCCCTGCGCATTTCATCCCAAATAAGTCTCTCATTAACTCTATCAAGATTAGGAGGTCTATATACTACTCTTGTGATTAATTTTTCCCTGCCATCGATTAATCTTATCGAAATTGTTTCTGAATTTCGCTCAGTTTTTATTTCCCTATTTTTTCACACATCAGATTATCCCTGACATAGATTGCTACCGGCGCCTCCTTTCCTAATCTGCCTATCTGTGTGGAATAATCTGTAACCTGCAATTTGGTATTCGAAAGGTAACTCACGTGAGTCTAGGTTTATCCATGTTTGGTGATTGCTATTAAATCAATTTTTTCTGTCCATACCAACGCCCTGATTTTATCCATTTTGTTTCTCATACTTCTACTGTTTGCATACTAGACATTTAAGTTAGTCGTTTTCTGAGTCCTCTCTTTGTCTCATTTAGGTTTTAAGACGGCCGTTGACACTAACTGCCCTTGACAACCATTCATTGCCAACTCTCCTTCTAGGCAGGACACCACATATAATAGGGATCCCTCCCTTCGACCTAATACATTCTATGGCTGTCTTGAACATATCAAGAAGTTCCTCACTCCTACACCGGCCAATATCATTGCCTCTTGCACTGAGGCAGATAATGGGTTTGTTCCCATTATCAGACAAGATATTGTCCATCCTGTCAACTATATCCCCCACCCCAGCTCCTAGCAAACACACCCTCATCCTATTTTTATTTTTACCACGAAAGGCATGATCTGTCAGTCAAGCACAGCAGTTTTTCAACCGGGGGATGACAGTCCATTTTCTTATCCTATGGGACTCACGTAATGTAAGTAAGCATGGTAAGTTAACCTGACTAAGCTACATTTACCTCAGACAGGATGAAATACGCTATATTCTTTTTGTTAATGTGTATTGCAATAATGCACCCTTAAGGAAATATGTGCATTGTAACAAAGAATCTGTAATAGTCGAATAATGTACCATTTATTTTCCATTTCCCTGCTCAAGCATTCAAAATAAACGCCAGTTTTATTTGCTTCACACTGTATAAGCTCTTTCCAAAATCAGCAAAAAAAAGGACAAAATGAGACAAAACAAGTAAAAATTACAAAATGAATAAAGATAAATAAGTAAGTACAAATATTTGCCAATATTGTCGTTCAATCATAAACAATGGAGTCGTCTGTTCTTAAGTTACAGAAAACTCTAGTGGAAAAAATATATATAAAAAAATTTAATTCCTCCACCCAAATTGATTTATTCACAAGGTAAGAAACATATTTTTTCTATACACGTTTTGTGTGAGGTGGCTGGTTATCTTTTGAACTGTTACTATTAAATTACACAGTATCAAAATTCAAAATGAAATACAAATAGATAGATAACATGCTACATAGAGGTGTTTACAGTATCTCTTAATCCATGTGAAGACGTTATGTTGGATTATATTATGAGACGTTAGGTTAAAGTTCGCATGATATAGGCTCCTCGGTAGTACTGGCGTTTAGTTATAAACGTACGGGTTAGTTATAATTATAACTGCCACCGTTGATTAGGTTGATTAATTAATTATCGTTGTTGTAAAAATGCCACGAAGCGAACAGGCAACGGGGCGAAACAACTGTAAACCGGTGTATACATTGACATACAGATAACACAAATAGTTATATAAAGAAACACATATAGATAAATGGATACAGATTGATAGACCGACGCAGATAGATAGATAGATAGATAGATAGATAGAGACCTTCATTCAGTAAAATTGCCATACAAGTTCACATTGTTTAAGTACGATAGACAATGCAGGCAAATACACAATGCAAAAAAGTGCTAATATACAGTGTGTGTATATATATATATATATATATATATATATATATATATATATATATATATATATATATATATATATATATATGTATATTTTTTTCTTTTTTTTTCATGTAGATCCACAATGG